CATGGTCAGCCACACAGAATCAGGCAAATGGAAGATCAAGTAATGAAAGAAACCCCGACTTGGTACAAGCTCAAGCAAAGCCTACACTTACGGGCATCTGTACTTCTAGGCCCAACACAGGGGAAGCAGACAAGACAAAATATTCCAAGAATGTTTTCAGGAAATACAGGAATGGTTAGGCATAGCGACTTTGTTTGGTGAGCTTTCCAGAGCAGGGATGGCAAATCAATTTCGACTTCAGAACCAGCTCCAGTGATTGGCAGGGGCCGTTCAGAGGGCTGTGCTGGGAAGGATTCCGAGGTCAGGTCCAGGCCCAGAGGGAAGTGCAGCAACTGACTAACAATGTGAATGGAGGGTGAAATAGTGGCACCCAAGCCACACTGACACAGCTCCGCAGGCCAGGATGAGGGAAGAGCGAGGGATGTGCAGAAAATTTAAAACTGGTCAAAGAGAAGTAATCACTTCCTTTGTGCAGGCAAGTTATTAGACTGAGGCATCTGTGGCCTGAGGGGCTGGGTTTAGCATATGGATTGGGGTTCAGTCCCAGTTCTCCGACTGGGACTGGATATCCCACTGTATATCTGGTGGCTCGGGGTGAGGGAATGGGAGTCAGTACCTATGAAGTAATAGCGCTGTGCCAGGAAATGCTAAGTGCTTTGTCTACATCACAGTATTTCATTAACTCCTCCAAGCCTGTTTCCTCAGGTATGAAATGGAAAGAACATCATCAGTGTGCTGTGTGGATTAAATAAGGTAACAGGGGTGAAAGTTCACTGTACACTGGAAACTGTTATAGAACTAGAGTATTAGTGCAATGTCTATTCGCATTCAAGGCATAAGATAGTAGTTAGCCATAAGACTCGGCCTCAGACAGACTTGGGTTCTGATTCTGGCTTCATTACTTACTAGATTCTTCCCTACACCCCAGTTTCCTGAGATGAAATATGGAGATAATATCAGCACTAGCTAATGAGAGTGCTATAATTACAGGAGACAAAGCATGTAAGAGAGTGATCAGCAAATGCTCGGCACCTAGTAAGCCCTTGATAAACCATAACTGCTTTAAAAAATTATAATTCTTCTTGTGAATACTCTTCACAAAGATTAGATCTTTGCCATAGATTTCATTAACAGATACCCCAAAACTTTTCAATTATTAGAAAAGTCTGGCAGAAAACTGGTTTAAGTTTGGGTCCTGCAGATCAAAGTTTGACTCTCTCATCCCGACAGCAGAAATCAGCGGCAGGTGGTAAAAGTGGAGCAGCGGCCACCACTGCCCTCAGAAGACAAGAGCTGAGCTGGCACCGGGGCTGGGAACCCCGGCCCCTGCCGTGTGAGGACCACGGAGGCCGAGTGGTCGGTGGTTTTCTGTGGACTCGGCAGCACGGCTGGGTGAATGCGCACACAGACACTTACACTTAGGAACCTACCACAGGGGGCAAGTGAACCTCTGCTCTGACTGACAGGGCGGGCGAGCGGAGGCGGCCATCCATCACTGTCAGGAAAGATCTGAAGCACCTCGCTAGTCAGTTGAAATAAATAAATTATTTACTGATCTCAGGGTCCAGCTGCTCATTTGAATGCTCATAAAGGGTGTGCTGTTTATTTTGTGGTGGATTCTGTTTCAGGAAGGAAGGATTTCTGGATCGCTGTGTGCAGGTGTTTGTTGTTGTCAGAATGAAAGGGTGTTATTATCTGCTTTGCAAGGAGGGAGACAGGGTCTTAAGTTACATATCTGAACTTGTACATGGGAATAGGAAATGAGTGTATTTATTCACTTCATGGTACAGGACTCAGGGCACAGTTTATTTGTCAAAAAATTTCTTAGGACTAATTAATGCAGTTTCTACTTATAATGCTAAAGATTGAACTTAAATGCATAATAGAAACATTCTGACACATTTTAGAAGCATCTCAGAGCTGTGATGTTCCACCAGAGGGAGCCATGTGCACCACTGGAAGCATCCAGAGGCGCCTGGGACCTGGCCTCTAGTCACTTCTTTTCTGAGAACCTCCGCTCTAGGGAGAGATGCTTGTATCACTGTCAGCCATTTCTACCGGAGACGTCTCCACTGTGGCTACAGTAGAGCCACTACCTAATCCGAGCGATCTGGTTACATGTTTTCAAGATGGTGAAATAGAAGAGAAAGTAATAAGCAAAATAAATATTACTGACAATAATAACACTAAGATAAGCTACCATTGAGAATACAGCTTCTATGGGCCATTTTCATACAATCTTGAAAGGTAAATGTAACTCACATTTTTTAAATGACAAGAATTAAGATTAACCAGGGGAGGGACTTGTCCAAGGTGACACTGCAGGCAGGTAGTAATGCTGGGATTCACACCCAGTCCTGACTGCAAAGCGAGGCTCTTCTCACAGATCCTTTTCTGGACCTTTTCCTTTATACTACCTTTTTTTTTTTTTTTTTTTTTTTTAATTTTAAAAGAGAGAGAAATATCGATTTGTTGCTCCACTTATTTCTGCATTAATTGGTTGATTCTTGTATGTGCCCTGACAGGGGACTGAACCCGCAACCTTGGTGTATCGGGACAACGCTATAACCAACTGAACTACCCTGCCAGGGTCCCTGGACCTTTTCCTTTAAATAAATATTCAGGTCGGAATCTGATGAATTAAAGTTTGGCTTTTTGCCTTGAGAAAAAATTAGGGGGAAGAAGCCCAGAAACCAAGTTTGCGCTCCTTTTCACTTTGGGGGTCAGTGGATTTGCTGATTATGCTCACCTGGGAAAACCCCTGCCTTCTCTCCTGGACCTTTATCTTGGCTGCACTCTGGCTATTTATTGAGCTTCTTAAAACTAAACCCACTCAGAGAAAACAGACCCTTTGTTACTGGGAAGGCACTGCATTCAGGCACACGCAAACTGGATGTCAGAGTAGCATCCTTATTTTAGTAAACTTTTCACTGAAAACATACCAACCGAAAGTACATAAATCATAAGAGTATGTATGCTTGACTTTTCCACAAAGTCTACAGACTCATGTAATCAGCACCCAGATAAGGCACAGAACTTTATCAGTGTCTCAGAAGCCCCTTCAGTCTGGGCTCCCAGGATAACCACCATCATTACTTCCACACAGATTGTTTTTGTGTATGTTTGAATGCTATATAAATGGAATCATACAGTCTGTACCTTTGCCCCCCTTTCTGGACCTGGTTTCTTTTTGAGCAGTCTTTTATTTTTATTTCTAGGAGACATACCAGCAAAAGCATCCCCAGGAAGAACACCCCTGAAGAAACTTTATGTTTTAAGAATCAACATTAAATAAGCATTTTATTTTATTTTTTTACCACTTTAGAGATTTAGTTTTTTGTGTGAGGAATAAACAGTCTAGAGAGGGGGAAGAAGAGTGGATTCTTTGTTTTGGTTCGAAGTTACTGGGTGCTAATTCATGTGCTGAGTTTGTTGGAATCACCATCATCTCAGCAGCTGGTGTTCACTGAGCACTTGCCTTGCTAAGTATTCTGCATGTGCTGTGACATTCCATCCCCACAATTACCCCATCTATGCGGGACTATTATCTTCATTTTACAAATGTGGAGACGGAAATTCTGAGTCATCTGCCTGTGATGATACAGCTAATTAGCGAGCCAGGGTTTGGACCCAGGCCTCTAAGTCCTGAGTCTGTCCTCTAAGTGCTTCCCCATGTTGCTTCTCCACCAACAGTCCTCACCTTCAGAGTTTAGCAGCCGCCAGGCCCTGTGCTCAGGGCTTTATGTGGACCGCTGGCTTGTTCCACGGCGGAAGCTGGTACCACTAACACTCCCACTTAAGCAGAATGGAACTGAGCTCGGAAAGATGAAGACACTTGCCTAACATGGCTGGTTACTGATGGAGCCACAACTTAAACCAGTTGTGATCCTGACGCTCATCTTTTAGTTACTAAGCTGTACTGTCAGCATATTTCAAGCTCCTGTCAGTCAAGTTGGGAAGAAATTATTAAGATATTTTTCAGGCTTTATTACAATTAGCAAGACTAATGCCAACATTAGAAAAGATTTTATGATAAGACACATACAAAGCATTTATGAGAACCGTAAGTCGTGAGCCTTCGAGTCAGACTCCAAGCCTTCTCCCTTTATGCATGAAGCGAACGAGGCCCAGGCAGGGGCAGCGTGGCAGAGGTCAGTGGCAGTCCAGCTCTCTGACTAAGCCAGGCATCCACCCAGGCCCCCCTCCTCCCACCTGTTAGGGAGCAGGTGCACTCCCATTGGCCAGACCAGCGTTCTGTTCCTGACACCACCAACCTACCTGCTGTGTGAGCTTGAGCGTAAGCCTTCACCTCTCTGCCCCTTATCTACCTTCTCTGTTAGACGGGGACGGTAAACGCACTCCCTTCTAGGTGGTTAAGTAGTGCACGTGAAGCACTTAGCACAGGGCCTACTACACAGCGGATACCTGCACATGACAGCCATGACGACAGGGAGGTATTAATATTCTGTTGACTGCTGTGACACTTTTTCTACTCCTGTTAGGTTTAAGTCAAAACAGAAATTTAGATGGGAACACATTAACACCAAATATTAGTTGGAAGTTAGTTCCGAATTATCTGGTGAGAATCCAAATACAACTTCTGAGATCACTGTAAAGCTTCCCGAATAAGTAAGTGCATGAGTGACGAGGCAATGAATCCACGGAGTAGGAAAAGGCAGTGCTACCAGCAGTCTCAGCATGGCAAGTAAGAGAATTACAGAATGAGAAGAATTATGGAACCTCGCAGAAGTCAATCGGTTTGAAAAGAGTCTCAAGTTAGTTCTATTTCTAATCTTCTGCTTCATAAAAAAAGAAGACAAGACAGAGCACTCGGCTGGGGAAAAGGAGGTACTTTAAATTTCATTGTTTAAACATTTTCTCTGAAAACAAATTACCGTCAGTCGTTCAGGTCACATAAAAGTTGTATGTTGTTTCTTTCCCCATCTCTACACTGACCACTGACATAAAGGGTTCACTTCATCACCTGTTCATGCACTTACCTAACTGTACGTCGGTTGTGAATCGCAGTCTGTGGATCATGCTGACTTTGAATGACTTGTAATGGTGGCTGCTAAGCATATCCTGTACTGTAGCTATGTCAATTTGCGAATCCTCCTCACAAACCCCGTCTGCCCTTGAACCTGGAGAGGAAAAAGCAGTTTAACACATAAAGATACATGAGGCTTGGCAAATGTTGTCTGCTTAAAATGCTTTGGGATAAATTAAAATAATATGGGCTATTTAATTTGGAGAAGAAAAGGCTGAGCGATGACTTAATAATGCCATTCCAGTAAACAGAGAACGGTAACATATTAATCACTCAACAATTAATTCCACAAACACAGCCTCTTCTGTGGCAGGCCCTGGGCCAGGCAGTGGGGGTACTGAAGGCGAGAAACACTCCTGCTCACCAGCAGCTCTCCGTCTCCACAAGAGAAAGTCAAAACCACAAAGCATGGGTGGTCACATTTCTCGTTTCTTTTTCTAATATTAATTTTCCTGATCATAAAAGTAATCTATACTTCTTGAAGAATCCCGTCCTTTCTGAGATTCTCAAATATCAGCTTGCATTCCTGCGCCCCAGTCTGCGTGGATGCAGGCACGAGCCAGCTCACCCGCGATGGCTGGAACAGTCTCCCACTGGCCTTCTGGCCACCAGGCTCCCTTTGCAATCCAGCCACCACAGGGCTTTCCCATTCATCTTTCTAAGGCTTTGATCGTTTATTCACTCATCAAATGTTTAGTGAGAGCTCTGTGCATGCTAAGTACTCTGATATGTGACACTGGCGACAAGTAAGACAACTGGTACTGAAAAATCGTCCCTGGCTTCCCAGGGCTTCCTGAATGATGCACACTTTTTTCAGCCAAGTAGTCAAGACTGTCCATAATCTGGCTGAAACAAACATTTTCAATTTTACTTGTCACGCCTCACATATACCTTCTCTCAGCAACTCCCAGACTCCCCAGACTGCACACAGATGCAAGTTTTTCTACTTCTGGGCCTTTGCTCATGTGGTACCCTTGGCCTAGAACACCCTTTCCACCCTTACCCTGCACCTGTCAAGACCCCACCCAGGCAGGCTAGCCCAAACTCCACCTTCTGCTGAATTCCATTCCTACTGGACCCTGGAGCCAGGGAGACCTGGGCTCAGTTCCTAGCTCTGCCTCTAACTTGCTGCATGATCTATGGCAGCGACCGGCTCTCTGAACCCCCGTCTTTGCCATACACAGAATGTCAAAATGTGTTTTAAAAATCTAACACATACTATGCTTAATAAGCAGCAGTCATGACTCCACCTTCTGCTGAATTCCATTCCTACTGGACCCTGGAGCCAGGGAGACCTGGGCTCAGTTCCTAGCTCTGCCTCTAACTTGCTGCATGATCTATGGCAGCGACCGGCTCTCTGAACCCCCGTCTTTGCCATACACAGAATGTCAAAATGTGTTTTAAAAATCTAACACATACTATGCTTAATAAGCAGCAGTCATGATTATTTTTTATATTTTTTTTATTGATTTCAGAGAAGGCAGAAGAGAGAGAGAGAGAGAGAGAGAGAGAGAAACATCAATGATGAGAGACAATCATTGATTGGTTGCCTCCTGCACACCCCCTAAAGGGGATTGAGCCCACAGCCCAGGCATGTGCCCTTGACTGGAATCAAACCTGGGACCCTTCAGTCTGCAGTCTGACGCTCTATCAACTGAGCCGAACGAGCCAGGGCAGTCACGATGATTTTTATTCTACTGTCATAGAGGATCACGTTCAGCCTGGCACTGGAGTTGCTGAGTGGTTGCTCTTGTCCTAATTCGGAAGCTTTGTGGGGGCCAGTAAAGTTTGTTCTTCATCTCTGTGTCTTCTCCTGTAAGCCGTACAGGCAACTGGCATGCTCTCACTAAATTCTGCTAAATAAATAAACAAACAGAAGCTAGGACATATGAGTGCTTGCTACACAGCAGGCATGGTAAAGTGCTTTACACATGCGAAACCTCATGACAACTGGCTGTCATTGCTCATCTGAGGCTTTGGGAATCTGAGGCTTTCGAGGTGAAGTCACATGTCTAAGATCACAATAACCAAAGCTAAACTCTCTCACCCTGCAGAGTTTGAAATGAGTTGTCCTGAAGGTGCAGCTGCTGGTGCCACTCACCAGTGGGAGGGAGCACCTGCTAGCAGAGGCCAGCCAGCCTTGGGCTGAGCAGCTAGAGATGGGTCCACCGAAAGAGCCAGAGAGAACTCCGTGGTTAGAGTTGGAGTAGTTACAAACTCAAGATTTGGGTACAAAACAGGAACATCTGTTACATAACTGGTAGCCTGACAACTACACGCTTTTCCTTCCCACAGTATTGCTTACAGGATGAGCTTTTTTTTTAATCCTCAACCGAGGATATGTTTTTATTGATTTGAGAGAGGAAAAGAGAGAAAAACATTGATTGGTTGCCTCCCATACATGCCCTGACCAGGGATCAAACCCACAATGTAGGTATGTGCCCTGACCGGGAGATGAACCCATCACCTTTTTGGTGCATGGGAACAACGCACCAACCAACCGAGCCACCTGGCCACAGCGACGGGCAAGCTTTTAAGTCCAAGTTGCTTCCTGATGCCTCCCCCTGAACTCCTGCATTCGGAGGTGTGCACTGGCTTCCCAAACACTGCACTTATTCCCAGCGTGGACCACTCCAGCCCCTACAATAAGGCTTCCTCTCAATGAGGACCAAGCCTCACCCTCAGTGGCCGTTCACTGCCCGCCTGTGACACAGTCCCACCTCAGTGTTGGCACATGTTGCTCTCTCTGCCCAGGTCACCCATCTCCTATTTTACTCCCTCCTGGCCTATTCCTCCAGGCTCCTCCCTGTTCTTCCTGAAGAGCTTAGCTCAGGTGACACCCAGGGAACTGTTCCTGACCCAAGGCCCCCAAGTCTAGTCCAGCTCCCCTGTCATTGCACCCCACATTTTCCTCAGAATACTTATCACAGAGAGTAATTACCTGTCTCTGCCATTCGACGGTAACCCCAAGAGGGCAGGCACGATGGCTGCTTTACTCGCCCCTGTAGCCCGGACCCTGCCAGTGCTGCCATGCACAGGATAAAGCAAGTGCTCAATAAAAATGTACTGGATGAGTACCAGGTGCCATGTCCACAGGAAGGTGAGGATCAGAGAGGCAGAGGGACTTAACCAACGTCACATGGCTAGGATCAGCAGAGCTGCACTCAACATCTGCCAGGGCCACGGGGAGCCCTGCTTCCCTTCTGTGGAACGCCTATGATTTTGGATAGAGATGCCACCACCATGACCACCCGTCTCCTGGGGACTGTCCACATCTCTAACGGAGGCTGGTGAGAATTTAGAGTTTTGAATAATCACTTGCTTTCTCCAATGCATATCTGACTGAAACAGAACTGCCAAGATGTGTTTATTTCTACTCTAGAACCTTACATATATATGAGAACTGTGGAGAAGTTTGGTGAAATATTAAAATCCTTTCATGTTTTAAAAATAATTTCAAGCTATCTTTTTTGAGAAAATGCCATTATTAGATATAACTTAGTTCAAGAATTTCTGTTTTCTTTATTAATTAGTATTTTCTAAATATTGAAGGTTCTTGATTTGGAAAGAGATAATAGCTCATTATACTAAAATGCCAATTACTAAAAAAACCCCACCAAAACAACACACCACACTTAAGAGTTTTACATTTTTATGATGTTGGATTAAAACCAATTTAAAAATTACTATAACGTGACATATAATTTTTTACTGAGCAATTTCAATGCCAGCTGCTAATAAAGCATCTTAGCTGTAAATGATAATTCAGATGCTTTTAGATAAAGTGGTGCATAAATATAGTTGGAAATTGATTTAGCTTCTTACAGAAGCTACTGAAGAATGACATATTTTGTTTAATACACCAGCTAATGTAGTCCTAAAAGCTCAAACAAGTGCCAGTTTTCACTCCTAAATTTGCTGTGGGAGATTAATGAAAACTTTATATTTTGCTGAAATGTTAATAATGGGCAGATGAGACGATAGGATTTTAGTGGAGGTCTTAAAGCTATGGAATAACCAGCAAGGCCTGTCAATGTCCTTATATTAATTTTGTTCAAGACTGATATAGCTGGAGCTGGCTCCACACACTAATGCTTCTTGCATTGACCTTCTACTCTCCGACAGTGTAAATTCAAGTCCCATGTGAGGATTTAGGTCCCCTGATACTTGGGTGGGCTCTGAGTCTTGCCCCAGCTGACAAGGGGCATGTTTGCTTTCATGATTAGAGGGCAACAGCACCTGGGGGAGCAGAGAAGGAAGAAACAGCCCTGCTCTTGCTTCCATGCATGCTGCTCACGCCAAAGCAGGTCACCTGCTGAATGGAACGACTTCTGGTCTCGGAGTTCCAGAGCCCTTTCTCCGTGTAGGTTCAGGAGTGCTGCTTGGAGGGGAGGTGTGTGTGTACGGACCAGCCAGCCTGCGACCTGCCCCCTCCCTGCCGCCCCCCGCCAGGCCAGCTGTGCGCTAGACTGCGGAGGAACACTGGTGAGGGTAAGGCCGGGTTCCTGGTCTTCAGGAGCTTACAGACTTGCTATGGAACACAAAGAAAACAGTACAAGGCAGAGAGAAATGCCCAATAACCGGCTCAGGCAGCAGACCCTATCTAAAGACAAACACCGGAAGCAGGTCCTTACCCAGAAGCATGTTTTCCGGGCCAGAAAAGTCTAAGACCTTTACTGTTTACATCCTTCCAGGAAGGAGCAAACCCAGCCACACGTGAAATATACTCGGCACTGCCCCATGTGCACATTAAAATCATTACTGTGCTATCAGCTTCACATTCAAAAACCCACTCCTGCTCAAGAGAAGGCATTTTTATCTACTCAACGTACAAACGAGAGAGAACCAGAATGTCTTAAAAATAAATATATTAACAAAAAACACTCCCCAAACTGTTAATTTAATTGAAATCTAACCAACCCTTTGGTATTTTGTTAAATTAGCAATTAAAAAGGTCACAAGCAATTAAATGAAACAAAAGCCACACTGTGTTCATCTACATTAACGCTGAACTGGGGCTCCTGGTGAATGACAAGATGAATTGTAATGGTGCCTTCAAAGACTTCATGATGTACTTTGTCAAAGTCGGGAGTG